TGCATGTATATACACAGACACACATATCCACACATACATGTATATACGATACACACATAGGCATGTACACACACACATATAAACACATGTACACACATATTCTTCCTCTCTAAAATAAGGAGGTTGGACTAAATGGTCTCTAAGGTTCCCCCCAGACCGAGAAAGGATGAATGAGGTTTTTGTGTTCTGTGAATCTGCTGGTTTCTGTTCTAGGATTACAAGCAGAGAGTTGGTCATCCCACTTGGTCTTTTAAAGACCCAGTGACCTGGAGTCCACAGAGCTGGGTTCAGATCCCATCACTGAACCTGACAAATGATATGACCTTGGGCAAGTCACTTAATAACCTCCATAAGCCTCAGCTTCCTGACCTACTGTGAGGCCATCTCTTCCCTATCAGGAAGGGGAACTCTTCTGAAGTGCTGAAGGTGGTCAGGACAAAGGCACGGCAACTGGAGATGGCGTCTCCTGTGTGAATAATAGCAAGAAAGCCATTATCAAATGAGATTATGCTTGTGAAGTACTTGGCAAACCTTAAAGCACTATCAGGATGTTAGCTAGAATAAATATCGTTGTCACAGAGCTCACTCCCTCATGAGATAATCCATTGCATTCTAGAACAACTGATTGTGAGAAATGTCCTCCTTAAATTAAGCTTAAGTAGACTTTCCTACTATGTATTCTTAGTTTTGTGCTTTCATGCCAAGAAGGAAAAATATTTGAGAAGTAGGAAATGTGAGTTCTTTTCTTACTTTGGAAGTAATTTGCTGTGTGACTTGGGAACAGTTTCTTCCGTGGCTGGGCTTCAATTTTCTTGTTCATAAAATGAGAGGGTTGGATTAATTGGCTTCTAAGGAGGATTGTAACTAAGGGAGAGTGAGTAGGGCTTTGTCCCAGAACACCGATATAAAGGGGTGTGTTTTCTTCCCACACAGTCAGTCCTCTGTCCTGCCACTCTGGCTTCTGTTTTCTCTTTGTCCTCTGTGATCCCCAGGTCATGTGGTACCACTCCTGAAAGTCCCATTTCTTCCCCAGGGTCCAATTTTTCCCCACTTTTTTCCCCTCTGCTCTTAGGATTGATTTGTGGAATGCTGGTCACTGGCCATGCCACAAAGGCTAGGGCTGAACTGTATAATAGGCAGGCCATCCCCTCTGCCAGTATAACCATGGACTACTCTTTTCAAACTGAACTTGCTCCAGGTACCAGAATTCTGAGTTCTACCCCCCATTAAGGTTCCTCTCAGTTGTGGCCCCTGACCCTTCTATAGGATACAGTTACTCATTTCTGAGTCTGGGTCCTGAGGAGTGATAAATGTTTCTGGGGGGTGGGGGGTGGGGTGCCCAGTCTGACTGAAGATGGCAGGGTGGGGGATGGGAATGGGTGGCAGCACAGCACTGAGTGTTGACCTTTGGAGTTTGACCAATGAGAACTTAATTTTTACCCCAAATGCAGGTTAAGTTTTATTGCATTTTCAGCAGCCTTTGAGAACCTTTGGTAATCCTAGGGAATTTGTGGAAACTGCTTTCGTATTCATTCAGCAAATTTTTATTGACCTTCTACTGCAGACATGATCCCTCGTCTCCATTCTCCTGTCCTCCATTAACCATTGCTATCTCTCATGTGGACCATTGCGACCATGTCCTATCTAACACCTCTTGCCCTCTCCCCCCCTCCAATCTATCCTGCATACTCTGCTCCGTTTCTAGTACATTGCTGAAAACTCCCAGCGTGTCACTGCTGCCAGTACTAATATGAAATTGGTTATTCTGTGATCCTTGAAGATGTGCAAAGTTCTTATCTCAGAGCTAGTCTTTATCTTTATTTTATGGATAAGGAAATGAGGCTCAGGGTGATTAAGTCATTTGCTCAGGGCCGCACAGCTAAGAGAGATTTGAACATAGGTCTTCCTGACTTCATTTGTTCAGTTGTTTTTGTCATGTCTGACTCTCCATGACCCCACTAGGGGTTTTCTTGGCAAAGATACTAGAGTGGCTTGCCATTTCCTTCTCCAGCTCATTTTGCAGATGAGGAAACTGAGGCAAATAGAATTAAGTGACTTGCCCAGGGTCACACAACTAGTAAGTATCTGAGGTTGGATTTGAATTCAGGAAGATGAGACTTCCTGACTCCAGACCCAACATTCTATCCACTGTACCACCTAGCTGCCCACATCTCCCAATATTTTTTGGTAAAAAGAATGAATGAAGGAATGAATAAAAATTTATTATATGCCAGGCTCCGTGCTAAGCACTATATATACAAATACAGGCAAGCAAGATAATCCCTGCCCTTCAGGAGCTTATATTCCTTTTTTTTTTTCAAATGAATTTTATTATTATTTTATGAAGTTTTGTAAGGAATCTTCTTTGTAATTTGATTGGTACAGCATTAAACGTATGAATTAATTTTGGTAGTATCATTTTTATTATGTTGGCATAGCCTAGTCATGAGCACTGAATATTCCTCCAGCTATATAAGTTATTCTTTATTTTTGTTTATTTATTGTTTGCTTCCTAGATTTTAAAAAATTTTATTTATTTTTAGTTTTCAACATTCATTTTTATAAGATTTTGAGTTCTAAAAATTTCCCCCCCTCTCTCCTCCCTCCCTAAGAGTGCATGGAATCTGATATAGGTTATACATGTACAACCATATTAAACATATTTCCACATTAATCATGTTATAAAGAAGAATCAGAACCAAAAGGAATAACCACGAGAAAGAAAAAAACAAAAAATAAAGAGAAAATAGTATGCTTCGATCTTCATTCAGACTCCATAATTCTTTCTCTGGATAGAGATAGCATTTTCCAATCTTTAGTCTTTTGGAATTGTCTTAGATCATTGCATTGCTGAGAAGAGCTAAGTCTATCAAAGTTGGTCATCACACAATGCTGCTGTTACTGTGTACAATGTTCTCCTGGTTCTGCTCACTTCATTCAGCATCAGTTCAGGTTTTCTTGAACTATGCCTGCTCATCATTTTTTTTTTTTTTTTTAGGCAATTGGGATTAAGTGACTTGCCCAGGGTCACACAGCTAGTAAGTGTCAGGTGTTTGATCTGAGGCTGGATTTGAGCTCAGGTCCTCCTGACTTCAGGGCCGGTGCTCTATCCACCTGCTCATCATTTTTTATGGAATAATAGTATTTCATTACATTCACATACCACAACTTGTTCAGACATTCCCCAATTGATGGACATCCCCTCTATTTCCATTTCTTGGCTACCACAAAAAGAGCTGCTATAGATACTTATGTTTCCCATTTTTATGATCTCTTTGGGATACGCACCTAGAAGTGGTATTGCTTCTATATACACAATTTTATAGCCCTTTGGGCATAGTTCTAAATTGCTCTCCAAAATGGCTGGATCAGTTCACAACTCCACCAACAATGCATTAGTGTTCCAATTTTCTCACATCTTCTCTAACATTTATCATTTTCCTGTTTTGTCATGTTAGCTAATCTAATAGTTGTGATGTGGTACAGGAACTTATATTCTAATGGCTGAAGACAACATGTAAAGGAGAACTGGGAAGGAAGGAAAGATGCACACATGGAGTCAGGGTATGGAAATGTCTGAGAAGTGACATGGTAGCCTGGTTCTGGGCAGGGCAAGGTAAAAGTCCACCTGTTAAAGCCCAGGGTCCCCAGGGCAGAGTCTGAATTCTAATGAGGAGACTGGCCAGAGGGCAGCTGGCATGATTTGGCACCAGCAATGAATAGGAAGATATGGGGGACTTAGAATCATAGACTAGAAACATGAGAACAGTAAGGGACCTTAGAGTCCTATCCCCTCATTTTAGAGATGAGGTTCCATTGGGAGAAGTGACTTGCCCAGGGTCATGCAGCTAGAATGTGTATCTTGACCCTAAGTCTACCATTTTTTGCACTATATCATACTTCTTCCAGTGGTCGGTAATGTGCATGCATATAAACCTTATATGAAGATTGACTAAACTATTCTCTTCTGTAAACTGGCCAGCAGTAGCTGCCCAAGTGGAGGGAATTTTAAATTCAAATTCCAATGAAATTATCTTTGGAAGTACATCTATTAAGTTTCTCCAAAAACAAAATGAATGAAGTTACAACAGAAAGAGTTAACTGGGTGAAAAAAAATTTGCAGCAAGTTTCCTTACTAAAGATTTCATATCCAAGATATATAAAGAACTGATACAAATCGTAAGACTAAGAGCCATTCTTGGCAACAGATTGGATGGAGAGGGGTGAGAGAATAAGGAAGAGGAGTTGAGGATGATGCCTAGGTCGTGAGCCTGGGGGACTGAGAAGATGGTGATGCCTTCAATGGTAATAGGGAAGTTAGGAAGAAGGGAGTGTTTGAGGAGAAAGACTTATGGATGGGGGAGGGGAGTAGTAATATTTGAAAATAACTATATACAAAGAAAAAAATCAATAAAACTTAAAAACAAAACTAGGTGGGGTTGAACCAGCTGCTCTCTGGGGTCTCTTTTAGCTCTAAATGCTGTGATCCATTTTCTCCCTCTGACTGAAATGACTGGCCTGGGATTCAAACCTAAGTCCTTTGACTCCAAATCCAGTATTCGATCCAACCCCACATAGCAATAAATCAAGTTAAGTAAGCAGGTGTTTATTAAGTTTTTGCTGTGTGTCAGACACAGTGCTATTGCTGGCCTTTACCTTACATTTCTGTAGGGCTTTATGGTCCACAGTGCACTTTTCCCATAATCACCCTATGAGGTAGGTAATACCTCACATAGTAATCAGTCAATAATGCTTTCCCATTCATTTTCCTCGTTTTCCAGATGAGGAAAGAGTGGCTTAGGTAAAGAGCCTTATCCAAGATCGCACAGTTAATACCCATCGAAGACTTCAATTTGTTTCTCATCACAAGTCCAGAACTCCTTCCAGTAGCATCTCTGACCTAGCGGAGGCCTTTTGGCATTTAATGCCATTCCATTTGTCTGAAAATGCTATAATCTCTCTTTCTTTAAGCCTCTCTAACCCTGAGAATATCTCTGCAGTGTCACCGACGGGGATCTTCGCTACAATTTTACCAACCTGGATAGATTTTTGGATCTTCTCTGGGAGAACCGACTCATTCCAGGTAACATTAGGAAACATTGTAGTTTTTGGAATTCCAGTGAACTCAAAGGATTCTGAAGTTAATGAATTCTAGTGAATTCTTTAGTCCCAGTGATAGAGAGAGAATTAGGACACAAAGGGGAGATCTAAGCCTAGTTCTGGCTCTCTCCCTTCCTCTGTGGGATGGTATCACTCACCTCTCAGACACTTTCAGTGCCTTCTCCTTGTTTTCAAGATTAAATCCAAACTCCTTGCTCCGACATTCAAGGCCCTCCGCAATCTAACTCGGTCCTACTTTTCCAACCTTACTTTCTATGGCTTCCCTTACATAGATCCTCAGTTCTAGCTCACTGACTCTCCTTATTGTCCCCTGAACATACCAGGCTCTATCCACATCTCTGGACTTTTGCTTCCACCATTCTTCCTGCCTCTAATGCCCTGTTGCCTCCTGTTTGCCTCCCTAAACCTTGCCTATCTTTTAGTCTAGGAATTCTAGGAGTCGTCCTTCCCCTTACTTCCTTCCCCTTATCTCTCCAGTTTCTGAGCTCACATGAATCAAGGAATGAAGTCAGCCAGACTGAGACCCTACTGGGCACTGCCTGCCTGCGCTGGCCCCGATAGTCTGTCTGTCCCCCTATTAGTGGACCAGGCCACTTGTTCCCGTTTAGGAAAGTTTTCTTAAGGACACTGAAAAGTATTTTCATGTATTTAAGGGTTTGAGTTGATGGGGAGCCCATCTGGATACTTCACTGATTTCGAGGACAAGAAGCAGGTGTATGAATGGAGGAACCTGGTCACCCTGTTGGCTACGAGATATATTGGTAAGTCTTGAAAGGCCTCGGTGTGGGTACCTTATAATCTTTTAACTATTTTATTTTTTCCCAATTACATATAAAAACTATTTTTAAGCTTTGTTTTTTACAATTTTGTCTTCCAAATTCTCTCCCACCCTCCCTCCTCTCCCCCATCATTGAGAAGATAAGCAGTTTGATAGTTATACATGTAGAGTCATGCAAAACATACTTCCCTACTAGTTATGTTGTGAAAGAAAACAGACAAAACCCCCTACCATACAATCTTTATTGTTTTCTTTCTCATCCTATGTATATTCCTGCCTCTTCCTTCTTCCTTCCCCTTTCTCTCTCCTGTTTTCTCTCTCCTTTCCTCACCTTTTTCTTCTCTCTCTCCCCTTCCCTTCTTGTTTCTCCCCATCTCTCCATTTCTTCCTGTCCCTTTCCCTCTCCCTCCTTCTCTACACATTCCTCTCTTCTCCTTTTTCATTTCTCTTTTTCCTTTCCCATTCTCCCTGTCCCTATCGGCCTACCTCTCTATCCCTCTCCCATCACCAACACTGTTATTTCCTCTTCTAATCCAACCCCATACTTATTCAGAATCCCCTTGACAAACTTCCCTAGTCATCTAGCCTCTTCTTAGAGACCTCAAGCGATGAAAAATTCAGTATCTGTAAAGGTAGCACATGCGAGTCGTCATTTAGTCAGCTAGCATTTATTAACTGCCTAGAATATTCCAGGCACTGTGCTAAACCCTGGAGATGTTAAAAAAAAAAAAAGGCGAAAGACAGTCCCTGCCCTCAAAGAACTTACTATCTATTGGGGGAAACAATGTGCAAACAACTATATACAAACAAAATATATTCAGGATAAATTGGAGATAGTCTGAGAGGAAGACCCTAGCATTGAGAGGGGATCAGGAAAGGCTTCTTGCAGAAGAACTTTAGCTGATCCTTGGAGAAAGCTGGGGAAGCCAGGAGGTAGAGAAGATGTAGAGAGGTCTAATTGTTAGCAACATTTTCTTCCATTGAATCTAAATCTGCCTCTGTGACTTTCCCTAATTCTCTTCGTTCTGCCTTCCCAGGCCACAGCAAAACAAGTCCATATATGATTGTAGCTCCAGACCCCAAAGGCCATTGAATCCAACCTACTTATTTTTGAGATGAGGAAATTGGGGCTCAAGGTTTAAAGGGATTTGCCTAGCTCCCACAGGTAGTAGGTATCAAAGGCAGGATTTGAACCCAGGTCCTTGGACTCTGAAGGCAGTGTGCTCTTCTCACTAAGAAGATGAAAACCAAGCCCTTCTGCATGGCAGCCTTTCAGAGCCTTAAAGATAGGGATCATATAATGGGGACTTGGTGAGATATTGGAGGGGAAAGCCCTGTGAAAAGGATGAAGTGTAGTAGGAATGGATTGTTCACATTTTATTGATGCTTTTTATTTTTACTACCCCAGACTTTCCAGGGAACCATCCCTTGTAACAAGGAAAAAAGGTGAAACAAAAACAGCCATCCCCTTCCCGTGCTGCACCAATAGCAGCTTTGATTCTGCACCTGCAGCTTGCCCACTCTCGTACCAATGGTGGGGGGTGGGGAGGAAGCTGCCTTTCATTGTCTGATGTAGGAAGGTGGAGGTCATGGCACTAAGGCTGGGATTAGCTTGCTTGTGGATTTTAACTTAGCAATGCCAGCAGACGAGGAAGGTTGGGGATAATCAAGAGAGCCAAATCTCACAGTCAGACTGTGGGGTGGGGAAGGCCCATCTGAACCCAGAAGGTCGGGAGAAAAACTTAGGACTCTTTGAAAGAAGTTAGTAGAATTATTTTCAGGTACCCCCAGAACTCATGCTAACAAAGTGACTCCATTCAGGCCCATTCTCTTCTCTGTGCCTTAGTTTCTTCCTCTGGAAATTAAAGGGGTTGGACTAGATGGTCTCTTAAGATCTCTTGTCCACTCTGACATTCCATGTTCTAAGGCCCTTCCCAGCTCTGACATTCCATGTTCTAAGTATCCCCCCCAGCTCTGACATTCCATGTTCTAAGGCCCCTTCCCAGTTCTGACATTCCATGTTCTAAGATGTCTCTCAGTTGACATTCTATGTTCTATGTTCTAAGATCTTTCCCAGCTCTGACCTCCTATGTTCTGTTTTCCAGAGTTTCAGGGTAGAGGATCTCCAGGGATATTTAATAAATATTTAAAATTTACTTTGATAGTTATTCAATTTTCACATGCAAACAGATGGTGATTCACTTAGATCTGCTTGCTCTCAGAAGCTGGGGAATGACACACTAGCACTCTCCAGGGAAAACGGTTGTGAAGTTAGCATAGTATTTGGAGGTGTTGTAGAATCACTTAGAATCTCTGGGGATGGCAGCGTGTGGGCTGAAATGTTCGTCATCAGTTCCTCTGTGTGAAGCCTGAGCTGACAGTAGCCTTGACGTCCCTCATGGTTTCATTTGCAGAGAAGTACGGGGTAAGCCACGTCTCCAGATGGAATTTTGAAACATGGAATGAGCCAGATCATCACGACTTTGACAACGTGTCCATGACGGTCCAAGGTATGCAAGCATTTTCTCAGAGAGCAGAGGATGAGACAGGTGCTTGCTCTGGGCACAAGAAGCGGGCCTTCCTACCACTTGTGCAAATGCATTGAGTTTAATTGTAGAGTTCTCAGTTCAGGAGGCTTGGGTTCTATTCTGAGCTCTGCCTCTGATTCACTTTGTGGCCCTGAGCAAGCCCCTTGCCTTCTCTGGACTTCAGTTTCCTACTCTATAAAATGAGAAGACTAGAATAGGTAGAATGGTCTCTCACTCTCCTTCCTTGACTCTGTGGTATGCTCAGCTCTTTGCTAGACTTTGTGAGGGAGATGACATAATGACTTACAAAGCCTTTTTACATGCATTGTATTATTACATCCTCACAATGGCCTGTGAAGGTCTGCAGGGTTATTAGCCCCATTTTGCAGATGAGCAAGTTGAGGCATCTAGGTGACACAGTGGATAAAGTGCCTCAGACACATAGTAGCTGTGTGACCCTGAATGAGTCACTTAACTTTTGTGTGCCTCAGTTTCCTCATCTGTAAAATGAGCTAGAGAAGGAAATGGCAAACTACTCCAGTATCTCTGCCAAGAAAACTCCAAATGGGGTCATGAAGAGTCAGCATGACTGAACAACAACAACAAGAATTTGAGGTTCAGGGGTTAAGTGACTTGCCCAGAGTCACCCAGTTTAAGTAGCTCTGCTGGGGAGTCTTATGACTCCCAGTCCAGCATTCTTTTACCATAATTCTCTACCTTTGGTCTCTGCTCTTGAGGATGGGAGTGGAGGGGTGGGGGGATGGGGAGGGAGATACAAGACACGCAGCCATGAAATGACAATGAGAGAACAGTACAGATCAGTGGATGATTGGGAGCTAGAGAGTATGGTGCAGACTATAAGGTGTATGGAAAGGCAGAGAAGGAAGAGATCAGTGTGGAATGGAGCCTTCCCAGGGGAAGGCTTCGTGGACAGGGAAGATTCCTTGAAGGATAAGGATAATAATTTACCCACAACAGCTTATAGAGAGCAAACTGTTACTAGTCAATGTTTACTGAGCACAGTGTTTAAATGATTGGGTAAGTAAATGGATTAATGATTAAGTGAATAAATTAATGGATGAATGAATGAGTTAATGAAAGAATAAATGGGTAGGTGAATAAGGGAATGTTAGTGAGTGAGTGAATAAATGATCAGTAACTGAATAAATTGGGCAGCTAGGTAGTGCAGTGGATAGAGTGCCAGGCCTGAAGTTAGGAAGCCTCATCTTCCTGAGTTCAAATCTGGCCTCAGACACTTGCTAGCTGTATAACTCTGGGCAAATCACTTAATCCTGTTTGTCTCAGTTTCCTCATTTGTAAAATGAACTGGAGAAGGAAATGCCAAGAAAATCCCAAATAGGGTCATGAAGAGTCAGACATCACTGAAAATGAGTGAATAACAGCAGTAAATGAATGAGTAGATCAGTGAATAACTGTAGCTTTTGGATGTAGGCTTCCTGAACTATTATGATGCCTGCTCAGAAGGCCTGAGGAAAGCCAATGTAGGGCTGAAGTTTGGAGGTCCTGGTGATTCCTTCCATCCATTCCCAAAGTCCCCCATTTGCTGGAACCTACTCAGTCACTGCTACAATGGGACAAACTTTTTCACGGGTGAGAAAGGTGTGCGCCTGGATTATATCTCCTTACACAGGAAGGTAAGTGGGTCTCAGATAGATTCCTCAGGGCTCTGAACTGGGAACCTAAAGAAACCATGAGATTTCTATCAGCCTTTTACACCTTAGTATGAATTAGATCCTTGCCCACCAGTGTATCTTTGCTTATGCTGTCCTCCATGACTGGAACAAACTGTATACTCCCACACATCTTCAATTTTTATTTCCTTTGTGAGGCAGTCAGGGCTAAGTGACTTGCCCAGGGTCACATAGCAAGTAAGTGTTAAGTGTCTGAGGTCGGATTTGAACTCAGGTCCTCCTGACTTCAAGGCCAGAGCTCTATCTACTGCACCTCCTAGCTGCCAAAAAAATAGCTGCCACTATTTTTTTAAAGTCACTCCTTTTCTTCAAGGCCCAGCTCAGGTAAGAGACCCCCTTCAATGAAGTCCTTCCAGATCTTGCCAGCTTAAAATGACTTCATATCAAATTAATCATAACACTGCCTCAATGTCTCCTTTGGCCTTACTGTGTAAATTTTGTATTTGTGGTGGTGTTGTGGTGGGCTGGTGAACAGGGCTATCACTCCCTCCTACCCCAAGTCTTGTGGGGGTGGGGCTACTACTTGAACAAGTCAAGAAGTGTTTATTAATCTTCTGCTATGTAGCAGACACTGTGCTAAGTGCTAGGGATTCAAAGGAATGCAATAAAAAGTTCCTGCCCTCCAGGAGCTTATAGTCTAATGGCTACTTCTGAGCTACTCTCTACAATCCTCCTTTGGAGGAATGGTTTAACAAGCCAGAAGAAAACAGTGGGAAGGGAAGTGGCCAAGCCCTGCCCCCTCTCAAAGGTAGCTCACTAGCTCATTACAGCATTTACACACACACACACACACACACACACACACACACACACACACACACA